GAGAGAGAGAGAATGAATGAATGAATGAATGAATCCCAAGCAGGTTCTGTGCTATCAGTACAGAGCCCAAGGTGGGGCTTGATCCATGAACAGTGAGATCATGACCTAAGCCAAAATCAAGAGTCAGACACTTAACTGACTGAGCCACCCAGGCGCTCCTAAAATAGATATATTCACTTAAAAATTATCTTAATAGGCCACCTGGGTGGCTCTCAGGGTTAAGCCTGGGACTCTTGATTTCAGCTCAGGTGGTGATCTCACCCTTCCTGAGGTTGAGCCCAACACCCATCCCGGACCCCCATCCCCACCTGTATCTCCACCCATCGTGGGGCTCTGCCCTGAAGGTGAGAAGCTGCTTAGGATTCTCTTTCTCCCTCTTTCTCTGCCCCTTCCCACCTCGAGAGCACTCTCTCTCTCTCTCAAAATAAATAAATGAACATTAAAAAAAAAAAAAAACCCTATGAGAATTCCCCCATCTTCTTTGCAATTTTGAGGTAGTTACCTACCCTCTAAACCTTGTTGAAATTCCATTCATCTCCTCATTTCAAGCAACTTAATATAATTAATTGGATCAGGCCTCTAAGGAACTTTAGCATGTGTTTAACCTCATATAAATAGGGGTTTTGGAGTCATTGAGACCTGAGTCTGAATCCATATAATAGTTTGAATCCCTACACTAATATATACAAACCATATAATACTAGTTTGTGCCACCCTGGGTAAACTTCTTGACTCCTGTTTCTTTTGTTGTTGTTAAATGACAGGTGTCATGGGGGGGGGGGGGATATGCAGGGGGATTATGAGAACCACATAAAGTATCCAGATGGTTTTAATAAGTTCAACTAACCTTCATGAAAAATAGTTAAAAAAAAAACAAGATTAACTCTCCAAATCTATACCAGATATGTAAACACTACACAAGTTATTTATATCTTTCCTAAAAGATGATTTGAAAGGAAATAACATCTGAGAAAGTTATTTAAACCAGAAATAACTCAAGCATTTGCTTAGATTTCTTGTAAAATATCTAAAATACTATCACATAGTAATTCTAATGTTTCATTTTAATTTATTTTACAGTTACCTCAATTTAATTAGTTTCTCAATGAAAAGAATCAATGAATTCATTCTTGAGCATTATTACATTTATTATTACTTTAAAAATCCTTGAATGTTTATTTACACTATAACTGAGGATCTTAAAGCCATCAGATGGTAAATGTTTCCTTTGCAACAAAAGGGTAAAAAAAAATTGACTAAAATTTTATGCAGATTTTTGTTATGGGTGAAATTTAACGATCTTACAAAGAGTTAACTGAACCAAGATCATGGGAAGTAAAGATATAGTAGCAATAAAATATAAAGATTACAAATACTTTACTCCTGCAAATACGTATTTTTTTAATGTGAACTTAGCAAGTACACCTCCCTTTACAAAAAAAAATGTACATTCTGTTATCCTTTATTCAAAAGAAATGGAATAAGTTTGGGGCACTTGGGTGGCTCAGTTGGTTAAGCATCCAACTTTGGCTCAGGTCATGATCTCACAGTTTGTGAATTTGAGCCGCTCCTAGGGCTCTGTGCTGACAGCTCAGAGCCTGGAGCCTGCTTTGGATTCTATGTCTCCCCCTCTCACTCTGCCCCTCTCCTGCTCATTCTCTCTCTCTCTCTCTCCCTCCCTCCCTCCCTCTCTCTCATCCCCTCTCCCTCTCTCAAAAATGAATGAGCATTAAAAAAATATTTAAAAAAAAGAAATGGAATAAATTTGAGGATAAATAGGATAAAGAAATGGGATAAATTTTGACAGGTATGGATTAGAGATTTATAGACTCAAAAAAAAAAAAACTTTTCAAGTTTGTATATGCTTTAAATGAATCATTTGATTTGTCCTCACTGTGCGATTACAAGTTTTGTGAACTTTGTTTCTCCCCAGTTTTGTATTTATTGGTTAAACAAAGTTAATGTGTATAAACCCCAGTCCTGGAGGATTTGTAATTCTTACCAGAGAAAATGCTAAGTACTGTGAATCCTTTTATATATCATAATTTAATATTTTTTAAATTAATGACATATATGTCTTTTTGTTCACTAAAAGTCTTTGTATTTAAAATTGTAGTTCAAAGGATCGTGTTGTTTTGGACTCAGTTTGAAAGTACTGTCCTTTCAGAAACGAATTTTTACTATTGACAACATAATTACCATATATACTTAAGTTCACACATGACTTTAAATGAATGCACTTTCTTAGAAGTACTAGACATCTTTCTCTTGATTAAAATACTGGTGACCTTATTTTTCCACAATAAAAAGATTACTCACTTTGTTGGGGTTTTTTTTTTTTTTCTTTTGTTGTTGTTGTGGAAGGGAGGAAAGGTGGAGAGGTGAAGTACGTGAAATCCTAGTGACTAAAAAGAAATTTTGGTTGGTAGTTTGGTTTGTTTTTGGGTTTGGTTGTGTGTCAGTTGTGTGCACGCGGGCCTGGGAGAGAGACGGAAAAGAAAAAAGAAAACGTGTAATGAGTAAAATGACAGTTTATGAAGCCCATAAAGTCTCCCTTGAATCAAATTCAAATTCACAAACTCCACAAAGTCTACGGATTTGCCTAGAGCCATAAAGAATAAAAATGAAGGCAGCACCGCCCAACTCTGTACAAAAAGCGTGTGATGAACTTAACCTTTACTCAGTGTAGTATTCAGGAGTATGCACGCCGGTTTATGGAAGAAAAAACAAAAACCCCAAATTCCTCATGCCACTGTCTTTTAAGGGGAGGGGGGAGACAAAACAAGCGAATGCGTTATACTAAGTAACCTGGTGCATTCAGCTGCCACTTACGTGTCACTTACTTTGGCACCGGCACGTACCTGTCTGCAAATGCATACCTTTCTCTTGTCTCTTAAGACAGAAGCCCAGTTGGTAAACATTAAGACTCAAAGAGTTAGCATTCTGATCGCAAAGTATCCTACCTGTTAGCGTAATTCTTTGGTCTGGAGGCACGGAGAGGACTTGGCTTTCACGCATTTTCAAGGCGCCCAGATTTGGAGGGTTCGCCTGCGCTCCAGAGATTTTGGGGGATGTCCCACGGGAGCGACCCTTCATTCCCAGGGACAGCAGACGTCCTTTGTACATCCACTTCTGCAGCTTCTTGACTGTCACCGCAGGAGGCTTGAGGAAGGGAAGCCCCTCCTGGCCATCTCCTTTGCGGCTGCGTGCCACAGCTGACCCCGCAGGATCCCTGAAGGGGCTTCCCGTGGAGCGGCCGGGGTCCTTGGAGCAGGGAGGCCGGAGGCCGGAGGGGGCCGCGGCCGGGGCGCTGCCTCCGCTCCAGCCGTCCATCCCGCCTCCACGTGGCGGGGGCTCGTCCAGGTCCCCGCGCGCGCTGCACCTGATCCAGCTGTCGCTCGGCCACCGCTGGAAAGAAGGAGGCTTGGCACCCACCCGGAGGCTCTCGAGGCTTCTGCTGCAGGACAGCCGCATCCGAGGAGTCCGCAGGCGGCCTCCCCCCGACTCCCTCGGAGGAGACCGGGGCGGAGACACCTGCTGCCAAGGGCGGCCACCGCCTCCCCGCTGCCAGTCTCGGGGGCAGGCTCGGCGGTCCGCAGCGCCGCAGGGGGAAGGCGGCTGGCCCAGAGCCCGGGCTCCCACAAGGCAGCCGCGATCCGCCCAACCCCTGTCGTCCCGCCGCGCGCCCGAGTCAGGGGGCAGGTCGTGCATGGCCTGGATCAGCAGATAATAGGCCTCTCGCAACTGGGTCTGCAGCCTGCCTGTCTCCAGGCGGCCGCCCTCCGCCCCCGGGGAGGAGCCCGCCGCCGGGGGAGGCGGGGGCCACCGCTCCGCCTCCGCCCCCTCGGGCTCGGGCGCCGACTGGGAGCCGCCGGGCACGTTCTCATAGTAGTCGGCGTCGTCCTCCTGCTCGGCGTCGTCCTCTCCGCTGCCTTCGGAGCCCGGCGGGGCGCGCAGAGAGGCGCGAGTGAGCCCGCCACCCGAAGAGACGGCCTCCTTCCCGCCGCGCGGCCGAGGCCCGAGCGCTCCCCACCGCTCCGGGCGCCCTCCCGGGACCCGAGCCTCGGGGCCCCACG